GCAGCGGAAGGGGACGTCCCCGACATATGTCAACTCAGAACCGCTGCGAACCTTAACTATTCCCACTGCCACAAGCTCAGCAGAAGAGTACACCACTGCATTCTTATGTGCAAACCGTCAGATTGCAAGGTGTACATTGTATAAGGCGTTCCAGGAACTCTAGATAATCTAATTAACTCTATTGTCAGATTCCCTGCACGATTCCTTGGTTCGTGACCACCGTACAAAGCCTGAGTCAAGCCCCCTGTACCGGGGAAAAGTCATGCAGCTCAACCGTTTTTGCTCTGCGCAGCTGTCTAACATATCGGCCAAGGTCTGGGTCAATATAGTCGATACTGCACAGAACATGCTACCTCGCTTGGATGAATATTGCTGATACCCATCATACTTCACGTGCTGCAAGAGTGCCAGTAGCTGGACTGATTTTTCTTGGTGAGCGCACCCGCAGATCTGTGCAAGTCTGTTGCTGATATAATCTTTGAAAAATTTCCGACAAAGCCGTTCCAATGCAGCAGGCTGACCCTTCTCTGATCTCGGCATTTGTATGGCATGTCGGCTACGTCGGACGACATACTCAATAATGAGTGGTTGATGGCCAGCTGCCAGCGCTCGCTGGAAGTAGTACGCATGAGGCTGCCTAGGTAGAAATAGATCTGAATATGAATATCTGTAGGCCCTCGATCGAGTCGCAACTTTTGGTTCCCAGCGTCAGTCTCTCGAAAGGCTGTTAAGTATGGGTGCGCATCGCATCTACGCAGGCAGCATGGTGGCATCGATATTTGGCATTCTCGCCATGTGCCATATGGCGTCTTCGCCGTGGGCACTGCCTGCCTATTGCCGGACAGTCCTAGTATCAGGGCGCGACGTCCTCAGAGTCCTCGTCTTGGCTCTTCTCCCTTGCTCATCGTACTGCATATTTGACAGCAAATTTCACTTTGATCATGTCTACGCCAAACACAAAGCCTGGAACCGGTGATTAGGACGCTTCAGCTAGCTCCTTGAGCTTCCAAAAGCTCTGGGAGGACGCTATCGAGAAGTATAATGGCATTGCGGGCAAGAACCTCCGTCGCTCACCGCTCTTCAATAAAATGTCCGGCGCGACATCTGTTGTGGAAGTCGAGAGTGTTCTCGAGGAACACGAGAAAGGCTTCAAGGCTTTTCGCGCCCATGGCAAGAACGCCCGAGCCATCATAGCACCAATCTTTGCCTTCACGAAGCTGTTTGTCGATGTTGGTGGCGAAGCAGCTTCGGCTTCGGTGCGTGCTCTTCATGTGCTAATCGTCCCTCTCTCATCCACGAACAGGGTGTGGTGCCCGGTGGCAAGGCTATTTTTGCGGTGTCTGGAGTCTTTGCGGCCTTCTAGGTGTACGTCTATCATTTGCATTTTGGCCCTGTCAATATTTCTTTTCCAAGCTAACGGCCATCAAGGCAGCCGAGAATGTTAGTCAGCACTTCAATGAGCTCGAGGGACTTCTCTCGTGGCTTGGAGAGGTCCTCGGTCGCCTTCACAATCACTTGCAATCACATACGGTGCTCAACGTCGAGCTGGGAGACATCTTCGTCCGCGCGCTCATCCAGCTGCTCAACGTGCTCGCCATCTGTACAAAATATGTCAGGAAGCAGGTGTCATGGCGTAGCACAATTTTTAGGCGTACAAGTAGGCACTATTTACATTTGATTCATAGTGGGTTTCATTCCTAATCGTCACGACAGAGGGCTACGGTCGAACTCTCCTTGGGCACAAGGATGTAGAAGATGCCCTCAAGAAGCTTGACGAGCTGACGAGAGAGGAGCTTTTAGCCAATACATCTCTAACACTTGACATGGTGCAAGGCACAGATGCCAAGGTTGAGCTGGTCAGCGACAATGTTGTAAAACTGGGCAACGGCATTAAGGCTGGTTTGTCACCCCTGTGTCATAACATGTCTTTGCATATTCTCATCCAATGCCATTCTAGTGAGCGATGATCTGCGAGGCATTGTTACCCTGCAGCGTAAGGATGGCTTCTCCACATACCCATTCCAGTTTAACTAGACCTGCAGTTGACAAGGATATCTGTGACTGGCTAGCTCCTTCTGATCCAAGTCAGGCTCATGAAGAGCGACAAACTTCATACTTAGAAGGCACATGCACATGGTTCTTTGACAGCAAGTTTGAGGAGTGGAGGGACAGTGAGAATAGCATGTACTGGATCTATGGAAATTGTAAGTCTTTATTTCATCTGTGGGAGTCATGCAATAACTCTGCATTGTAGCTGGAGCAGGAAAGAGTGTTCTATGGTGTGTCCACTTTGGCTGACATCTTTTCAATGCTGATGGTGCACGATGAAAATTATAGCTTATCCATTATTGAGCATGTCTCATCCATCTCTGGCCTGCATGTGGCCTACTTCTACTTTGACTACCGTCGCCCTGAGATGCAGACCATGACTGGCCTGTTGACATCTCTGATCTATCAACTTGCTACATGTTCTGAACAGTGTCACCAAATCCTGACATAATTCCATGCAGACAACAGGGCAAAGCTGACTTCCACTAGGAAGCTTCTCCTTGGATGCCTAGAACAGATCCTGCAGGTTTCTGCCAGAACAGTGATCATCATTGATGCCCTTGATGAATGTCCACACTCTATCAGACAAGATGAGCTATTTCCTGCCCTTTGCACACTTATAACAAAGGGCATTGAAGGGCTACATATTCTTCTGACAAGTCAACCTGAGCCTGACATCAAAAAGGCCACGGACAATTTTCAAGTTCATGCTCATTTGTTCAGGCTCCACGATGCTGATGCACACACCCATGACTTGGCCACCTATATATCCTATTGTCTTGCTGGAGATGACTATTCTGACTGGACACCTGACATCAAGACGCTTGCTGAGAAGGAACTCAAGTTAATGGCAAATGGCATGTATATCAAGCCTCTCATTTTCATTTTCATTCTAATCAAATATAATTTATTTCAGATTTCTCTGGGTCAATCTCCAGCTTGATATGCTGCGCAGCTGTTTTCCTGGAAAGATTAAAGAGGCTCTGGCTGACCTTCCCAGAACAATTTCCCAAACATACGAGCGCATCCTTGCAAACCTTGTTTCAGAGTCAAATGGAACTATAGCAAAGCAAAGACAGCAAATATTCCAGTGTATAGCATTTGCCCAGCAGCCACTCTCTCCTTCTGAGCTCATGGGACTCCTTGCAGTTGACTTCTCAGCTACTGGAGACTCAAAGCTCACTTCCACTCCCTATCCCAGAGATCCAGAACACTTCATCAGCAACTTGTGCTCCAGTTTTGTGGAGATCATTGACAATCATGACAAAACAGCTGAGCCACACCGTTTTGTCCAATTTGTGCATGCCTCTGCAAGAGACTTTCTCATCACAGGCCAATTACCATTCTCTCTTATATCATATTCCATCAACAAATCATCAGCACACATCCTTCTGGCAATATCATGTCTTCTAGCCCTTCTCTCTGACCTACCACCACCAACCCTTCTCTATGCTGTGTGGCATTGGCAAGACCATATATTTCCAGGCCAAGTTGCAAAGGCTGTTGACAAGCTGCTGTCCCAGTTCCTCCTTCCAGACACTCCCCACTACTTCTTCAAATGGCAAAAGGCACAACCTGAACACCAAAATGGACAACAATCTCTTCTGTACTGGGCAGCCTATCTGGGGCTTTCAGACTACATTCCAGCCTTGCTGAAGAATAAGGAAATAGAGATTGATGCCTTGGGAGGTCCCTTTGGAACGCCTCTGATTGTTGCTATACGTCGAGGGCATCAGGATGTTGTCTTGTTGCTTCTTGACCATGGCGCAAGCAGCAGTGTTCCTGACAAATCCGGATGGACGCCACTGCACAATACCGCAGAATGTGGCCATGTCCACAATATGCACACTCTTCTTGAGTACAGCGCAGCTGTTAATGCGCAGAATCAGATCGGATGGACGCCGCTACACGTCGCTGCACACAATGGCCATGTCGATATCGCGCG